GGCACCAAACAAGCCCAAAGCTTCCTGCCACTGCCAGCCTTTCTCACAAGCACTGATGGCTGCATTGAAGCTGATCACATTCGGCCGTACCTTTGCCTTTGGCATGGCCCCAAACAAGCCCAAAGCTTGCTGCCACTGCCCGCCCTTCTCACACGCACTGATGGCTGCGTTGTTGCTAGTCGCATCCGGCAGTACCTTTGCCTGTGGCATGGCCCCAAACAAGCGCCCACCCTTCTCACAAGCACTGATGGCTGCATTGTAGCTGATCACATCCGGCTGTACCTTTGCCTGGGGCATGGCAGCGAACAAAGCCAAAGCTTGCTGCCACTGCCCGCGCTTCTCGCACGCACTGATGGTTGCGTTGTAGCTGATCACATCCGGCTGTACCTTTGCCTGGGGCATGGCACCGAACAAAGCCAAAGCTTGCTGCCACTGCCCGCCTTTCTCGCAAGCGCTGATGGCTGCATTGTAGCTGATCACATCCGGCTGTACCTTTGCCTGGGGCATGGCACCGAACAAAGCCAAAGCTTGCTGCCACTGCCCGCCCTTGTCACACGCACTGATGGCTGCGTTGTTGCTGATCACATTTGGCTGTATCTTTGCGCGGGGCATGGCACCGAACAAGCCCAAAGCTTGCTGCCACTGCCTGCCCTTCTCACAAGCACTGATGGCTGCATTGTAGCTGCTCACATTCGGCTGTATCTTTGCCTGGGGCATGGCCCCAAACAACCCCAAAGCTTGCTGCCACTGCCTGCCCTTCTTGCAAGCACCAATGGCTGCATTGTAGCTGATCACATCCGGCTGTACCTTTGCCTGAGGCATGTCTGACAGCACCCAGCATGCATCTCGCCATGATGCCTGCTTTGCATAGCTGCTAATTCTGACAGTGTAGCCCTTGGCAAGACGATTCGCATCTAAAGCTTGAGTCTGTTTGCATCCGCCTGCTTCAGAAGCATCTCGTGCAAGCTTTGCTCGCGTGCGTTCTGACGAGCCTGTGCTGAAACAACTGGAGTCGGCCGGCGTGATTGGAACACCTGCGGTGCGTTTCAGTTGCCAGGCTCGAAGTGCGCGGCAGGCACTCATGCCCGCTGTTTGTTCAATTTCTCTAGGCTCTGAAACTTGGGCCTCTGCTTGAAGCGCTCGATGTATCCCATGGCAGGGGGAGCATATTGTGTGGGTGTGCCCAGGATTCTGATTTCTCTTGGGCTGTCCCTTTGAAGGTCAAACAGCTCGGTGATGAACAATTGGGGGGCCTTTGAAAACGGAAACACTAGCTTGCAGTTCCTTTGGGCAAAATGAGCAATGTGACAGACTTCAATTCAACCGCTCTTTTGGTTTCCTTCAGGGGGAATGGAAACACTATTTAGCTTCACAGGTACACTGCGGATTCAGCAAACTGCTGTGGGATGTTCACTCCAGCATCATTGCAGGCTTGCCAACAGAAAACAATTCGCAACCCACGGCGTGAAGCCAAGGCTGGGCTTTTCATATCCCCAACGGCCCAAGGAGCGTCAAACGGAAAGTATGACCAGTGCTGCGTGGCCCGAATCCGGATTTACTCCACAGAATCTACAACATGTGGGGTGGTCTCAAAAAGCGATCTTCAAGAAGCCTCGATTGCCTGCTGCTTTCCCATTAACCCCAACCAAAAACAGGAGTCCCCCAGCCCAAAAAAAGAAAAGAAAGCGAAGCACACCCAATTTTTTGGGAAGCGACTCACCTGAAAGCCTTCGGGCTTTCAGTCCGGCCTTGGAGGAGGCCCTGCAGTTTCTTCAGCTCTCTCTGGAGCTCCTCTGCCTGGCTTGTGGGCCCTCGGTGCACCAAGAACAGCCATGGTCTGAGGATGGTTGGCTTCGGCTTCATATTCAGTCAAGCCTTAAAACCAATCAAAAAACAAAAACTATAGTATATATACATATCTTTCTTTTTCCCCAACAGCTTAAGCTTTGGGGTCCCGAGGGTTCCACGAGGTTCTGCGAGGGCTGCGGGGTAGTGCGAGCACTAAAAAGAGCACCGCATGCTGTTGGGGATATCACCTGGGCTTATTATAGATCTATGTGCACCAAGGAGATGTTCTCATTCTCTAATTCTGCTTCGCTGCATGGGTCTGGAAATCAAAGGATTACCCATCCAACCGGAAAACACACCGTTGCCATAACCCATCTTCAAGCCCAAAGCAACAAGAAGGCCTCATGAATGCTTTACTTGGGGGGGGTGGGAAGGGGAGATTCGAATCCTATGGCTTGCATACAAAGCCGGAACCACATAAAATCGCGTCCAAATCGCTGAAGCACGTGCCATCCAACTGCCCATCGATTTCTCTCGTTTTGCCGGAGCCCCAAAGTGTAAGCACTGGTGTCTACCTCAGCTTTGCTCCAGTCAATTCAAGACGTTTGACTCTTCAACACCCAAAGTCATTGGCCTTAAAGCGGCATTATTACTTCTTGTTTTGGGAACCAGGAAGAGGGATTGAGGAGTAGGGCTTGAATCCATTGACTACTGGCTCTGTTTTCTTTTAGGAGACCCCCAAAAATGGTGTTGCCTGTGAAGCCACCCAAAATTACGGAATCTCGTTCAGGGGGGCGGTTTGAGAGACCCAGATTTGTTTTGGGTTTTCTGGAGTTCCTTAAAGTTCCCTAGGGTTCCCTAGGAAGCCCTAGTGAGTCCCAGAACCAAAGACTACGTAGGTGGATCGCCCCAAAAAGAATTAGGTGAGATTCGGACTTCCGGCATTCTCCAACAATCGCTCCGTCCCGCCTTGAGCTTCTCCTCCTCATACCTGGCGGCCAGCCACTCTTTCTCCTGCCGCTCCTGGAGTTGAATTCGCCAGGCCGTGAGCGTTGGGCCGCCAGGTTGACTGAATCGAGAACATGGATTCCATGGTCGGAAAGCTTCCACATCACGAGGGGTTAACCATGCTTCTCCACAAGTCGAGTCAGTCTCCACGTCTAACTTGAAGGCAAACTGAATCCCCAACAACTGTGGCTGCCAGGCGCAAAGGTGCTCTCTCTAATGCACAAATGATGCCAAGGGACATGGCCGAAATACCAAAGATGGAATTTCCTCAAGACTACTTTCTCACTTGCTATCGCAGAACATGGTTCTCAAACCCAAATGCCCACAACCATGCGTTTTGGAACCAAACTGGGACCGTCGAAAAGCACAACTAAAGCCCAGCTTTCGCCTTTTTCAACCGGGGACCCTTCCTTGGTGATGATCTGCGTCAGCCACTCCTGCGAGACTCCCAACAGGCGCCGTGCTTTTGTTTAGACCTGTTGGGATCCTTGCTTGGTCGTCAAGAATATGGCCCCCATTTTAGACCTGGTGCCGCCTTGTGCCCGAAACGGGCACATAATTTGACATCCTGCCGTATGGCCTATTGAAAAATGGCTCAGGAGATTCTTGGATGATACACCGCAGGCCAACATGGAGCGAAACCAGCACACATTGGTTTGAGAGGAATTTCCCTTCGGGGGATGTGGGTAGGCTGCTTTAATATCAGGGTGTGGGAGCTGTAAGAGAAAGGGATGTGGCAGTGATGTCGCGCACCCTTGAAGTGAAAAACCGAAAGCAATCACAAGGCAGGCTGCGGCGGATCTCTGGGACTGCCCCTTGACTCACGTGCAAGGACCTGACAAGAAGAGGTGATCTTCGCTCGACTCAACCTCTAGTTGATGGGGGTCCCATGTCAATCGAACGCTGTCAGTTTTGAGGGAACGCCCCGGTTCATGGGGGTCAACACTGCTGTAAAGGTCAGAGTGGGCCTCTCCTGGTCCAGCTGAGGTGAAGAATTACTAACCCAAGTTGTCTCGTGATCAAGGGAGGAGGATGCTTGTAATCACTCAACCCTTTAGGCCGTATGCTCGCACCGATTTCAACGGCTCAACTCGTCTGACTGTCCCCTCCTTGCGGCTGGGCGCTTCACGTGCTTCATGCTCGGCGGATGCGCCGCCGCCCATGAAGGATGCTGACTTTCGAGTGTCGAAGGTCGCAAGGGTACACTTGGGCTCTTTGCTTCCCCCCCGTAAACCACACATCCTGTCAATTCGCAGCGAAAACGTGGGTTTCAGTGGTGCCGTGCTTTTGGACTCAGTCGGAGTGCCTTGCTGCGCTACAATGTACCAGTCATGACCATCCCCCTTTCAGAGACCAAGGATTCACAACTCACCAAGAAAAAAGGGCCAATGGAGTGAACCTTGCTGCCTCGCAGCGGCTGATTCAATCTCGCTTGCGATGCAAGCCGTCAACCCACAGACCAACCCCGGCGCTACGAGCCTAGATGCACCGGTGAATCTGGGAACCCTGAGTGTAAGGAGATCGGACATCTAACCTCCAGAAATCAAGTCCAATCTACATGAATTGATTAATGCACCAATGCACTTGGACGATTGGCCTTCCAACCAGGAAAATATTCAAAGTTCAAATCAGGGGGTGGGGGCAGCAATTGAAAAACTAGGGTGTGTGTTTTGGACTTTTGGGCAAAGGGATCTGCAAAGAGCAGGAATGGAAGGAACCCTGCAGGAACAAACAACGGGAACCCACCCCCATAAAACATACAGCAGAAACACACCTCCAGACCCCTTCGGGAATCCCAAAACACAAACAAGTGATGAACATGAAAATGTTGCCCGCCCCCAATTGTTGTGCTTGTTCAGCTCACCAAATGCAGCATAGACTACTGGATATGTTGCCCAAACGTCATGTAGAAACAATCCCGGCTGCCTGATTGGATTGGCAGTAAAAAAGACAACTAAACTGGCAGAAAGAAAGTGACTCAAGGCTCGGAGCCTCGGCTTTCCAATCCTTATGAGCAAAGAACGGCAATGTTGGCACCCCGCCAAACATGAGCAAACACTCACACATCGAAACACCCGCCAAGAACAGTAAAGTCAAACAACATGTTTGCTGACCATAGCCAAAAGGTGAGGTGAAAGTGAGTGAAGCTCTAGGACCTTTCGGGGAGTTCGGGAAGCCCAGGCCAAGATCTTTGAGGTCGCGGCTGCTTGGGGTAGCTGGACGGGTCCGTCTCCGGGCCCGGCAGCCAGCAGTTCCCGGCCTCGTTGCACTCCTCGGATTTTTTTTCAGGCGACGCCCAGCGAACCCAGGGATATGGGATGAGGACCACTTTAAGGAACCCAGGAGTTTGGGAGTTGCTCAAGATGGTGGGTGGACCCAGTGTTGGTTTGCTTGTAAAGGGAAACAAACGAACACCAAGCATTCTCGGGAACGGATTCCTATTGGACACACAAATCCAGCACTAGTTGGTAGGTGGTTAAACCAGTGTTCCGAGGGCTTCATCCATCCCAACTGGTGCAGGATTTTGTCCATGCACAAATCAATGATGGAGCCGCTTGCTTGGGACAAACAACCAAAGAAAGCCGTTTAAGGTAAGCGATCCCTACATGGGCTCCTCCTGGAACCCTCGAAAGACACACCCTCTTGGACCTGGCCCCGTGGTTGGAACTTGGGATCCCGTTGTTTGCATTTCGGCCAAGGCTCCACCAGCTCCGCGTCGCTGGGCACCCCCGGCTTCTCCGAGCCGGGGACGACCTTGGCGAGCAGAGCGGGTGCTCCGAGAAGAAAGCGGGGTCAGCCACTATTGGAATAAAATAGGTGCCGAGGCATTTTACATAACCTGGGCAAACTACAATTATTAAATCACATTTGGTGAGATCCTCATAAAATAAGCTCGAAATCGTGATTTGTTATGTCAGAAACCCAACAACTTTACAAGGATTTGGTGGTTTGGGTCCGCTAACCCGGCTGGCAAACGTGATGCTTCAACCCAAGCGGTTTTGACGCGCGACGCCGCACGAATCCTTTTACGGAGGTACGTGACGGCGGTCCTTGTTACGCAGGTGCGCAACGGAAAGACACAGATGAACAGGTATCGGAAGCAAAATGAAGAGGCAAAGCAACAAAGTGCCGCAGCTCCAGCTCGAAAGTCGCAACTATTCAGTGCAAGTGCTGTAAGCAAAGCAGCCCTCTGCAGCTCCAATTTGACATTGCAACTACTCAACGCAAGCCAAGCTTGCAGCAAAACAAGGCGTCGCCGGCCCAAAATGGGGCTGGGCCTGCGACGAGGCATGTAACGGCTATGTAACGAGGTGGGTATCGCTATGGCACAAAAAGCAAGATAATTCCTCCGGCCTTTCCTTTCTTCCAACTTTCTTCTGGCAAGCTCCCAGAAGGTGACTCTTCAGCGAAAGCATGCTCTTCAAAAGTCTGCTCTGCAGGCACGCAGGGAAAGCCGTTGCGAGTCTGGGAACGCATCAGAGTATGTAACAAGGGGCATGTGAGGTGTGTAACAAAGCTATGTAACGAAGCATTGGCACATAGGTATGCAACGGAGAATGCAACACATGTCCGCCACAGCTGCGCTGCAGACCCCTCAAAATACACCGCCATGTGTCCCGAAAAGGGGCCCTCTGCAAGGACCTTAGATCATGTTGTTGTGGGACATGGGCTGCTTTCTGTGATGCGCATGTGGGATGTCCATCCCTATGACTATGTTACCACTTTGAAGGGGAGTTGCCTTGATATCAACGATAGTGGCCCTAAGACCAAATTTCGAAGTTTCAACAGCACTCGGATACATTTGGGTATGGCTCAAAAAACCGGTACCAAAATGGAACCCTGGTAAGTGGAAACATGGACCAAAACCTGCGTAACCCTAGCTCTTTAATTTTGAGCCACTGCCAATTTGGTGATGATGCTCCTGAAAACGCCGACAACCCCAGCCATTTTGAGGGCTCTCCTAAATTGGGCCCTCTCTTGGGCGTCCTTTGTGGAAGCACACTTTCCCAGAATAATTCAACTTTGAGGGCTCTCCCTGAGGAAGGGATTTTGCAGGCGTGGTCAAGGTGGCCTTTTAGGGCGCCAGCATGGAAACATCAGAGAGTCTATGTTTGATCAAAACGGTCTTCCATTTTCCAGGGAAGGACCATGAGGTTGCTTTCTTTCCTTTTGCTTCCAAGTTACTCACGGTAAGATAAATCCGATCGAGCGGCCCCAAGCTTCACCAAATGCCAGGCGCTCGACTGCTGCACCTGGCGCTCGAATCTTCATTGCCGCCAACCTCTTCCCCCCTTCTTCCCACCAAATGAGAGCTAATGAGAGGCCTTGTTGGGCAAAACAAGGAGCCATCTGTCTCTGTCGGGGTGTCTTTTTGTAGGGCATTGTTTTTGTGTGGGTTGTAAAGGGAGACCAAAAGGAGAACTCCCCGAACGAAAGCCGAGCTGTTGGGGAGCTTATGGAGGGGTCCGCGGACATGTCTCTCGCCTTCTGCAGCACCTCCTCCCCTGGCTGCAGCCGCTTCTGCGCTGATAGGACCAGCCTGGCGCCCGCATCGCCGCGCCAAACATCGCGAGTCGAGGCCGAAGGGAGGAGCAGTAAAACCAAACTCGATTGATTTCCCAACCAACCTGAATGAACTCATGCATTTTCCATTGAACACCGCGATCTTTCTTCCAGTCACGGAAGTGAGCAAGGGGCTTTCCCAAAATGAAAGTAGTCCAACACCTCCCTGTCAGCTTCCATGATTGTTGGAGGACGCGTACCAAAGGGACCTCAAACTATGGAAACTAGACTCTGAGCTTTTGCCCGCAACCAAACAGGAGATGTTTGCCGCAAACAACTTAATCATTGCCAATCCCTGTGCGGTTTCTGTAAGGAAAATGGGCAACATGCCCGCCGAAAGCAAGAGGCTCGAACAGTGGCCACACACTGAAGCCATGAACAAGCGCTTACTTGCTCAAATGGCTGTGGCTCAAAAAAACGGTACCAACATGGAACCCTGGTAAGTGGAAACATGGACCAAAACCTGCGTAACCCCTCCTCTTTAATTTTGAGCCACAGCCAAACGTTCTTCAACTAACACGTCGAGGAAACCGCCAAAAGTGGACACCAAAGGACACAACAGCAGAGTTCAAGAGACCCACCGGACAGAAAAAAAACAAGAAGCGACTGCAACAGCAATACCTGGCCCAGCTGTCACCGGAAAAAAGGGTGGGTGAAGGACAAAATAAACCAACAGAATTGGCCAAGGTTTCGGGGTTGCTTCTGCTCAGCCAAGGAGAGTAACGGGAAGCCAGGAGCATTCATGACCGGGTTGATTCATACTCACGTTTTTGGTTGGAAAGCTCCCTCCTGCAATCATGCCAGGGATCCGCCAGGTGAAATTCGGGGCAAAGAATTAGTCCCAAAAAGTACAATACAGTTGGGTGAAAATAGATGGCACCCTACCTGCCAGCTTTGGGGCGCTTGCGGGCGGTTTTCGCACATCTTTTCGATGGACTTGGCGCGGCTTTCAGCAGCTGCTGCTCTCTTCCGCTGAAGATGGGCACGATGAGCTCTCGCTACTGGCCAGGGCAAGAGCGATGATCTTCCAAGACGGGTTCCACTACCCAACCACCCCAGGAGGATATGCTCTTGATATAGCTGTATGGCGCAGTTGTCTAGCCAGATTTTCCTTGAAACTGTGGCTTGCGGTGGACACCATCGTAAGAGTGAATGTCACTCATACAGAAGCACCCCTAACCCCGTGGGCCATTGAAACAAAGCAAATCCTCAGTTTGCCCTTCGCATCTCTACAACAAGATGGGGCTAAACAATTAAAATCCGGGCTGCAGGGAATGGGCTTCCCTCTGCCCCGCTAGCTGGTTCCAAACAGACCTCTGCGCGAATGCCACCGGTAACTTACTTTGAATTGGCAACCGGCCCCAACTTCCTGCAGCCAAAGGATTCAGCAAGGCCAAGACTTGGCGAAAGGTCGTAACTTCGGGCCAAGCAAACACCCACCGGAAAAAGCCGAGCTTACTTTCTCCTAAGGGAAAAGTTAAGGACACCCAAAACGGCAAAAGGGCAACAAAGCGAATGGAGTCTGCCAATGCAAAGAGTGATGAACATGGAGATGTAGGAAGCTCTACTTGATGCCCACGAATGGCTTGCTTCTCAGTAACGAGTCAGCGAGATCGGCTTGCCTAATCTAAAGCAGGGTGAGGCATGAGTGGGAACCTGGCCGAAGACGTATTGACCGTACTATATGTTCTCGAGCGTGGTTCCCCGTTTTGTTCTGGCCTTCTTAAGCTTCAATGGGAAGAGCCCGTCAAAGTGCTTGGTGAGCATAACTCCCCATGAATTCTAAAACGGCCCAAATAACTCGAATGGAATTGATTCGCACTTCCATGCGAAACTAAGTCATGGGTATACCTTTTCATAGCCTTATTAGGGGCCTATCTTTGGCTTATCCTCGGCTTTTTCAGGGATAAGCCCCCCCCCCCACTCACTCGCCCATGTCCATGTCGTACCTTTGCCCCCCCACTCTGCGAGTCAGCCATGCCTGGCGCTGACATGCTCCACATCCTGCATTGTTTCGCTGGAAGCACCACGAAAACATAGGATTTGGAGCTTCTCCCCCCCATCTGTGTTTTTTCTTTCTCAGTGCTAAATTGCCTGCCCTGAAGTGAAGGATTCTGTGAAAGAATGAGGGGGAGTACAACTTGGCACGCCACCCGGTATCCACGCCCCCCTAGACGTTTCAGCATCCAAAACCACGGTAAAACGCATTGCTGTAATTTAGCGCCTTTCTGAACTCCCTTGCCTCTGATGTGTTTTGCTTGGGGAAGTCTCCTTCAAGGTCTCCAAACTTTTGAAGATGTCGGCATGTGCAAAGCTGCGGAAATGCTCTCGAGAGGGTGGGCTTATGGCTTATCGTGTGGAAGGCGCGTGTGCTCTTGAGCGGGTGCGACTATCAATTTGGCAGGCGTGCATGCAGTGTTGAGCTAACGCGCGCTTGAGCGGGTGCGCTTATCATTTGGCAGGTGTGAGTGCGGTGCTGAGCTTAGCGGATGCACTTATCACTTGGCATGGCTGTGCGTGTACGTGCAGTGCTGGGGGGGGGGGGGTTGAAAGAGCTTAGCCCTAGCCTCCAATGCACCTCAGCTTCTCCCGCCAAATCATCCAGCCCAAAGCATCTATCAAAACCGCCCCCCAACATACCAAATACCCAAACAAAACTCTAACCATATACCATTTCACACAAAATACATCATAATATAATGAAATATTATGAAGTATTATTCAACATCACGCCACTTCTGTTTTACTTACCTCTGCTTTTTCCTTCATTTTCTCTTCATTGAATTTGTGTGTCGCAGTTTTAATATGTTCTGACCACCTACATTTTTTAACTTTCCATCCACAAACCTCGCAATCAACTTCAATTTGTTTATAAATTCGGTTTTTCTCTTTGATTTGTTCAAGATGTTTCTCACGATATTTTCGCCTCCTCTCCTTGATTTGCTCAACATTTGCTTCACGGTATTTTCTTTGATATTCTTTCACTTTTTCGGGGTTATCTAATCTCCATTGCTTCCTCTTTTCTTCTTCTCTAATCTTGCTTTCCCGATGCCTTTGACAACAGAAATCACACACTTTTTCTTGTTCGGAAAAATGTTCATCAGCAAATGTATTTCTACAACACCTACATTTATTAAGAGTAGCCATAGTCCTATTATATATACTCGCCTACTCTTTAAACCGTTTTTAGACAAAATGCTTACCGAAGTGGGTTGAAGGTTCAGGCAACGAAGTTGCCTAAGAGGTTTGATAAATCAAACCTATCCCTTATTCAAAAACCCCCAACAACAAAGAAACCTAACAAAAAACCAAACAAGGAACAGAACACAGAACATTCCAAAACAACCAACCAACGAAACATTCCAACGCTTCTTTTCAAAGAGCATGAACATAAGTCTTACAATGTTTTTATTGTAAGGTTTATGGGTTAATCTTCTTCAAAAGGTGATATTCTAAACACAGGACATTCTACAAACTGATTAATGCAACAATGTGTCCAAAAACTCTTGTCGTCATACATATATTTTATAACTTTGTTAAAGTCGGCTATTGTTCTGTCTAAGTTGAATTTCTCCAATTTAATAATTTCAATTACCATATCTACATCATTATTACAAATTTTCCGATAAATTTGTTTTAGACAGTCTATTCTTCTTATTGAGAAGTTAAATTCATTTTTTAATACATTCTTTTCAGGAAAGAAATGACATTTAACGAACAAAAATGTCAATGCATCAATTGCTTTACATTTGTTTTTTCTTTCAACAATTTCAGGTAGTCTCCTCAGGCACTGGCAGTCTTCGCATTCTTGATAACTAAACTTACATATATCATTGATAATATTTTGAGGTAAATTTAATTTACATAAATCAACCTTCTTATCTTCTAATTTACAAGGGCAGTTTATGATTTTAGTTTTCATAATTTTATACATATCATTTACGTAAATATTATTCAAGAATTCGTTAATAATATTTTCCTGCTCATTTTCACTGAACATGTTTCACTAATATATATAGGCAATTTGTCTTTAAACCCTTTTTAGTCTAAAACTATAACTTTAACATTTCAATTTGCTTCATTAAGTCAATATGTTTCGGTTTCTTCTTATGTGCCGACATGTTCCGAAGAGAGATGTAGCATCCACATTCGCACAACCGCCTTTCTTTGAGTTTCTCCGTAATTTCCGGTTTATGCTCATCTCTGTATTCTTTATCCTTTTGTTGTTTATATTCTATATTATTTTCTCTCCATCTTCTACATCCCTCCCTCCTTTCTTCTATTGTATCTTGGTAGTATTCTTTTTGTGTTCGTCCTTCAACAGCTTTATTAACACAGTTAGTTGTTTTGATGTATTGCCCTTCTCTTGCTTGTAATTCCTTTTTACTGTTACAAGGGTAATTTTCAACCCATTCTATTTTACAATTGTCATACCCAAACTCATCAAACAACGCAAACGATGTGTTGAACCCATATTTGCCATTGATGTATTGCTTGTATTTGCATCTGTGTGATGCCATCCTCTGCGCTAATTCTTCAACAGTGCTTCCAATGTAGCACTTCGTGTAGTTTTTGTCCCAGATTTTGTATATTTGTCCTTTCTGATAATTCGGCATTATTCTAATCTAATTATCTATGTTATTTTATGTTTAAATATGTTTTCCTTCTATACCTTTAACATCTCATGCCTCAATAAGGGTTTAGGAAAATCACTAACAGAATAATATTTCTGCCCTAACTTAGTTTCTGTTTTAGTTACGGTGTGAATAGTTTTCAAATAATGACTTGTTCGTTCTTTTTCACTAATTCCTTTTTCCTCATAATCTTAACCTTATCACCAATATCCAAATCAGGATAAACACGGGTTTTTCTGGCATTCATTGATATGTTCAATTTAACTTCAAGCTCATTCTTCTTCTTCCTTGCTTCTAACGGTGTCATTTTTGTAACGGAACTTACCAATTTATTATTATAAGT